ATAGGATAGGATAGGATAGGATAGGATAGGATAGGATAGGATAGGATAGGATAGGATAGGATAGGATAGGATAGCATAGAATAGAATAGAATAGAATAATTCTGAAGGGAAGACTTCTTATAGGAATAGAAACAGGAATAGGAATAGGAATAGGAATAGGAATAGGAATAGGAATAGGAATAGGAACAGAACAGAACAGAACAGAACAGAACAATTCTGGAGGCAAGACGTCTTGTTGCAAAGGCACTTGTCAATTCTGCTTAACATCCCTACTTCTAAGCACAATTGAGGAAACAGTCGGTGAATATGAGGAAACCACATTCATGTCCTGCAACTGACCTTGTCCAAAATCATTGAGACTTACCTCTGAAGAGGATTGAGGACATTTATTCCAGCCAGGTTGACCACTCCTTCACAGGAAGGGAGGCCCACACGGGAGAGTTCATCCTAGAAATGAAAACACAAACTCAGGATTTGTCAGGTTGTTGTTTATTTTCTCTTCAAACCCATTTTACTATATCTCCCATCATTAACAGAGGGAAAAGCTGCTGCATATAACAACAGTATTAGCAATACACGGAAACATCAAATCAATTATTGATGAAGGAATAAGAGAAAATATTATTAACAGAACAACTTTCCAAATATGACAAAAGTATTCCATCTTGCTCATTTGCAAAAAAAATAAAAATAAAAAAACCCTAAACCTAATTTAAATCTGATAAAAACCAATGCATTTTGACAGACTTCCCAGATAAACCGGACAAGAAAGACAATTATATGAGCTAATTATACTTTATTATAAGGCTACGTTAATAGTATCTTGCAAATGAGCAGCGTTGTGGCCTAGTGGTGAGAGTTCAAGCCCAGGTAGCGGCAGATAACCCAAGTAAAAATATCTGCTATGAACGAATGGTTCAGCTCCATCCAGTCACCCGACTCTACCCCCGAATTATGGGATTAAAAGATCGTAAAAGGGGAATTTATTAATAGAATCTTGAAAGTCTGAAGGTACAAATCTCTAGCCGACACTTTTAAAACTGTTTGATCCATTAAGATGGGTCTTTCCTAAGTGCCTTTCTTATATCTGATTGTTTTCTGGGCACTAGCTCTTCCCATCCCTCAAGGTTGTCCTCACATACCATTACAAACCTTTGCTACAAATGAGATGTAATTTATCCTTCTAAGGTTATAGAATAATTATTTTAGCTAACTCTCCACGGTTGAAAAGTCTAGAGTTTTCTACCTTATCCCAAATACTCAGGACAGAACTAGAAAGAAACTAGACAGAAAACATTACCTGAGAAGTCCAAATCATGCAACTTTTTTTTTTTGTTTGTTATTGTATTAAGCTGATTTTCAGATGACAGAAATCAATAGTGTCTCATTTCCTTTCCCCCTGCACCCCAATTTAAATTCTACACCAATCTAGTCAGTCCACTGCATCGGGTGGATTAATTTAAATTAAATTAAATTTAATTTAAATTTATTAATTTAAATTAAATTAATTTAAATTAATTTAAATTAAAAATTAATTTATTAAATTTATTAATTTATTAAAATTTAAATTAAATTTAAATTAAATTTAAATTAAATTATTTAGACTGCAGGGGTTTCTAACCTTTCTGGGTAGCAGGGGGAGGGGGGAAAGAGGGGATGATTTTGTGGGAGGGGCAAGCACATGTGTGCACGCGCACCTGCGATGTTCATGGTGACGCTTGCGCACATGGGGCCACAAATTCCCATGACGAGGCTGGTGTGAGTGGGGCTGTGGGCTCCTACGAGTGGGGCCGTGGGCACTTGTGAAGCGGCTCATGAGTTGGGCCGCAGGCGTCTGGACGAGGCTCATGCACGTGGAGGTGTGCGCACTGACCAGCCACTCAGGTGGACCGGTGGCGATTAGCTCGTGGGCCACAGCTCACAGGTTGGGGACCCCTGCTTTAGAATCCTTCTGATTTCTACTTTCCAGAGACTAAATCAATTCTCGCTCTACAATATTTTAGAGGCTTAATTATTAACTACAGGTAGTCCTCAACTTATTACCATAAATTGAGCGCAAAGTTTCTGTCACTAAGCGAGACAGCTGTTAAGTGACTTTGGCTCCGTTTTATGATCTTTCTTGCCATAGTTGTTAAGTGAATTGCTGTGGTTGTACAGTTAGCAACACAGTTGTTCAGTGAATCTGGCTTCCCCATTGGCTTTGCTTGTCAGAAGATCGCAAAAGGGGATCACATACCCTGGGATCCAGCAACAGGTCATAAATATGAGTCAGTTGCCAAACATCTAAATTTTGATCGCATAATATTTCAATGATCCTAAGTGTGGAAAATGGCCATGAGTCACTTTTTACAGTGCTGTTGTAACTTCTAACAGTCACTAAACGAACTGTTGTAAGTTGAGGACTACTTGTATACATTTCCATCACAAATGGCTCACACATTCCCTATCGTTAACTTTGCTATCCCCATCGACAACAAATGAGCATCCAAATAAACCGTTCTGCTTTGTCACTGCATTTTAGTGCTCAATGGGAGCAGCTTTTGTCAGAAAGCAAAGAAATGGCCTTAAATTCATCTAACTTCTCCTGTAAGCTGCCCTATAGATTCTTCAGGTTTTTTTGTAACTTCCATCTCCTCTTCATCTATACCAGGGGTCAGCAACCTTAAACACTCAAAGAGCCACAAAGGTCCTAACCAGAAGCCCCCTGTTCAATTCTGGAGCCGACTGGAAATCCGGTTCCCCATCATAGAGTCTCCTCCTAGCGCGGCATCCTTTTTCCTCTACCTGTCCTAACTGAAAGTCCTATCAATTGTGGAGCTGACTGGAAAACCTGCTCCTTGCCATAGAGTCTCTTCCTAGTGCACTGTGCTTTTTCTCCCATAACCAGAAGCTCCTCTCAAAATTGTGATGGCAACACGGAGCCACAGCAGAGGGATGAAAGAGCCACATGCAGCTCCAGAGCCACAGGTTGCTGATCCCTGATCTATACAAATCTTTCTTCCATTGTCACTTCAGAAGAAATTAAATTGCAACCGTCCAATCTGGAAAGAATTTAAACATATCTTTCTCAGTCTTAGCTTGTTTTAAGCCCCTGCTTCTTACCCAGGTTAACCGGTTTTTTCCAGGTTGACGAGAAATAAGGGTGACTTCATGGCCTTGGCTCCTTAGCACCCGGCTTAAGTTTCGGCCAATAAATCCAGTCCCGCCACCTAAATTACATTCAGAAGGAGACCATGAAATAATGAGCTAGTTAACAACAACCACAATCTGTTGAGAAATTATTTAATTATTTATTAAATTTATATCCTATTTTTTCTCCAGGAGTTTGTAATGGATTACTTAGGAACCTTCTTTCAATTTACCCTCACAACCCTATCCTTGGTTGTGCTGGGAAAAGGTGCATCCTTTAGGTTTCCTTGGCTAATATTGAAAATTTAAATCTAACCTTCCCAATTCCCCTACATTCAAACTGAAGTGACTATGTTAAGTTCATTTATTTACATTGTTTAGATTATTCCTTTATTATTTTTATAAATAACTCAAGACAGGGAACATACCTCATACTTATTCCTTCCCCTATTTTCTACACAATAACAACCTTTTGAGGTGGGTTAGGCTAAGAGAAAAGAACTGGCCCAAAGTCATCCAACTCCATTGAACATCCATTCATGCCTAATGCAGAACTAGAACTGAGTTTCCTGATTTCTAGCGAGGTATCTTCACCACTAGACCAAACTGGCTTAAGTTTTAGTTTAACAATTCATTAACGTTTATGATCCTCATCTTCAGTTCTCAAGGAGATTGTCTCTTTCCTAAAATCTGAATATTCCATTCAATAAACACAAACAGCTTCCCTTCTTTCTGGCAAGTGACTCCCTTCCTTAAAACAAACAAAAAGTTGAGGGAAATTGTTTGAATCATCCACAAAAAAGGAATATTGTATGGGGGGAGTTTATTTATTTAGTCAATTGCTATAGCCACCCATCTCAGTCAATGATCTGTACAGTTTACAATTCAAAAATATATTACAAGTAAAATACTAAAACATTATAAAACAAAACAATTTAAAAAATCCAAATTAAATATACATAGCAGCCAAGATACTTGGCTAGTTAGCAATGCAGCCAGGAAACTGGGCTTTCTTCAGCACCCCAAACTCAGAACACAGCCAGGTTTTTATTATTATTATTTTTATTATTTATTTGATTTGTATGCTGCCCTATCTCCATAGGACTCAGGGAGGCTCACAACAATTAAAATCAAACCAGATAAAACATGTTAAAATACATATTAAACACAGGGAGGAGAAAGGGACGGAGGAAAAGAGAGAGAGGAAGGAAAAGAGAGACAGAGAGAGGGAGGGAGGGAAAGAGACAGAGAGAAAGAGAGAGAGGGAGGGAAAGAGATATGATATTGTTGTTAAACATAGTATTTCAAAAGCAGAAAAAAAATGAAGGGGCATAAAAGTGCATTTATCCTGTTTTTTTCTTAGAACCATTAGCTGAACTCTGCCTTGCTTATCATTATTTTACGTACTAAAGCCTCATTATTCAGGTTAAATTGCTGTGTTGGCACTTTGCGATAAATAAGTGGGGTTTTGGGTTGCAGTTTGGGACACTCGGTCTCTAAAAGGCTCGCCATCACTGCTTGTAAGGCATCAGGGCTAGAAAACCAGGAGATCAGAAATCCTAGATCTGCCTTAAAGCACAAAGCCTGGCTAGGTGACCTTGGACTAGTTAGTAGTCCCTTTCTGGCAGCTCTAAGTAAGGAGGCAAAAAAGGGGGAATTTTGAGTGACTGTGAAAAATGTAAAAAAAGAAAAAGAAAGAAAGAAACTGCCAAGAAAGCTGCAGAGATTCCACCGGAGTGGTTGCCAGCAGTTCAACACTGACTGAAAGGCACAAAATTAAAAAAGAAAAAGAAAAAAAAGAGCATTATTGATGGAGTACTCCTGTCTTTTTTTCTGCAAAAAGAAAAAAAAATAAGAAATCCCCTTTTTCTTTACTAGATGTATAATATCCCACCCTTCCTGAAGGCAGCATCCCTAGCAAGGAAGCAGGTTGGGAAAAAGAGAGAGAAAAGAGCACCGGTCCCAAACTTGAATGAAGGTCGACCTGAACCTCCCCAAGTCCTCATTTAATGACTTGAGAAAAAATGAAGGAGAGACCAAATCCTTCAACTGGGACACCCACCACACATACAACCGATTCCTCAAAGAGAAATCTCACGTTCACCCTTTGCACGCATCCCCGCGTGTCGACCGCAGTTCAAGGTTGGCGCTAATCCAGCCAAGAATTGCAAATTGCAATTGCAAAAAAAAATAAAAATAAAATAAGGCCACCCCGCAGCAAAGAAAACAGCCGTTGCTCCCATTGAAAAAAAAAAGGGGCGCCCGTCGGCTCTTAAAGCGAAAGCGACCACCACTCACCGATTAAGACTCTCATGATTTTAAACGAGTCCGGGCGCATGCGTAGGAAGTCTCCGAATCAAACGGAGAGCGAGAGAGAAAAAGAGAGAGAGAGAGAGAGAGAGAGAGGAGACGAAGTGAGGCACAGAGCGGCCTTCCGGGAGAAACCCGCAGAGCTCAGCCGGAAATGAAACTGAGAGAAGGGCAGCCCTGTCCCTCTCGCGATTTAATCCTCTATGACGAAACTCTTTCAGCGGGAGAAGGTGGAGCAGAGGAGACTTTAGCCCTGAAGAGACGGCGAGGGGGGGGGGGGGGGAACGCAGCGTGTTCGTGACGTCATCAGAGGTCGACCGTGTGGCCCGGAGCCAAACAGGAAGTGGCGACAAACGGAAAAGACAACTGCTAAAAGCTTTTCGAACCGTGAGTGTAGACCAGGCGCTCTTTTTTCGGGGGCTTTGGGGGCGGACTACAATTCCCAGGCTTCCCGCCTTGCTTTAGGGTTGGGGTTTTGGTGTGACTTAGAAGCGAGGGGAGAAAATGTCCCTTCCTGACTTAATCACGCCTCCCCAAAAGGCTGAAGTTGCCATCTCTCTCGCACAGCCTTGGCACCTTTCAGGGACTACAACTCCCAGAGTCCCAAAGGTGCTTCCCCCCCCCCCGCTTCAAGAGCAACTGGACTTTCTGGTTTTTCTTTGAAGACGTTTCGCTTCTCATCCAAGAAGCTTCTTCAGCTCTGACTGGATGGAATGGGGAATGGAAGGATTTATACTCCTTGAAGTCAGCTGGTCATTTAAAAAAATCATTAAAAAAAAAAAGAATGCAAATGACCAGCTCTCTGCAAGGAGTATAAATCCTTCCATTCCCCACCATCCAGTTAGAGCTGAAGAAGCTTCTTGGATGAGAAGCGAAATGTCTTCGAAGAAAAAAAAAATAATGAGGTGCAGTTGCCTCTTGAAAAAAGCACCTTTGGGACAACTGTGACCTGAGATTGACAGAGAATCTCCATAGACCTTCAGGGACTACAGCTCCCAGACTTCCCAGCCAGGACAACCAGTGACAATGGCTAGTGATCCTAGGTGCTGTAGACTCCATACAGAGGTTGGGTGAAAAGGATTTATGGCCACGCATTACAGTTGCAAGGACTGTTGTTACTGTAGTTGAGAAGTTGTGTCCCATCACAACTCCATGGATACCTCTCCTTCAGGCCTTCCTATCCTTTACCATCCTCTGCAGTCCATTGAAGCTCACACCAACTGCTTCAGTGACTCCATCCAGCCACCTCGTTCTCTGTCGTCCCGTTCTTCTTTTGCCCTCAATCGTTCCCAGCATTAGGCTCTTCTCCAGTGAGTCCTTCCTTCTCATTAGGTGGCCAAAGTATCTGAGTTTCAGCTTCAGGATCTGGCCTTCTAAAGAGCAGTCAAGGTTGATCTCCTCTAGGACTGACCGGTTCGATCGCCTTGCAAGGATTACAGGATCATAATAAAGAGTTTTCTAATTAGTTGTGGGGGATAATTTGCTTTTGGGGGGGAAGGGTGTCTCCCCCACCCCACATTGGGAAGGGGGTAAGAATGGCTTTGCCTCCAGAAGTTGTGGGTGCTCCAACTTTGGAAGTTTTTAAGAATAGATTGGACAACCATTTGTCTGAAATGGTATAGGGTTTCCTGCCTAAGCAGGGGGTTGGACTAGAAGACCTCCAAGGTCCCTTCCAACTCTTATTCTGAAGAGGGTGATTACTTATGAGTTTAGAGAAAATATTGCCATACACAAGAGTTTATTTGAACTGTCAGCTGCTTGGATGATCTGTGGTAATCATGAAACCAAGAGCATCCTAGGTCTGGTTCCCAGGTTCCAATGACTAGAGAGGTTATAATACCTGTTGAGTGGAATGGAGGCAATGATGCAAGAGCTTGCGATTTCTTCAGGATTGCAGGACGTGTGGCCAAAAGGGTCAGGCTGCTCACTTCCTTAATATTTAATTGAGGATCTTATTTGGAGTGTGCATTGCCTCTTTTTACAGGCAGCAATGAGCACCGGAGGGGGATTGGTAACCAATCGTGGACGACGTTTCAAATGGGCCATTGAATTGAGCGGTCCGGGCAGTGGTGGTAGGTAAGTACCTAGGAAAAAACCTGTATGTATCTCCCTACATAAGCAATCTACAAATGTTGGGCATATGCATTTGGATGAGGGGTTTCTTTTCTTTGCCAGAGGCCGAAGTGATCGTGGCAGCAGCCAAGGAGACACTCTGTACCCCATAGGCTATTCAGATAAGCAGGTGCCTGACACAAGTGTTCAGGAGACAGATCGCATCCTGGTTGAAAAGGTAATGTCCTGGAGAGGAAGAACTGGGTATTAGAATTGCTATAGGTGTTCGAAATGTAGAATTCTATAGACTATATAGACTTTGCTTATTGAATTCTTATTTTTTCCTCCTTAAATGTTTTAGCGCTGCTGGGATATTGCTCTCGGTCCCTTGAAGCAAATCCCTATGAACCTATTCATCATGTACATGGCAGGGAATACAATCTCTATCTTCCCTACCATGATGGTCTGCATGATGGCCTGGAGGCCCATCCAAGCACTAATGTCCATCTCTGCTAGTAAGTCTCTTTGTATCATCATCCAAAGCCTTCTTTTATCCCATTTGTTCTCCATTTTCTACTTTGTGGGGCTGTTATTCCAATTAGGGGTGTGTGTGGAAATGTAATGGCCTTGATTGTGATCCAAAATACAGTTTGAACAATTTCAAAAATAGGACATACACAAGTGCTTTCTTTTTTAAAAATGGGAATACAGGAACACTGTTGAGTGGGCAGTTTTCATATGGTACAAATTAGTACTATAGGTTATGCTATAAACCAAGGCAGTCCAGGAATAATAATGTGAGAGGAATATTTGCTAGCTGGATTTGGGACATCTATTCTAGAGGCTTATAAGAAAAAGAGGATTGCTAGGGGCAGAAAGGTCCCTCTGATTAAGATCCATATCCAGATTTGTGCTTGGCTTCAGGGTTGCCTTTAGGACAAAGTGTTTGCAAAGCAGCTTAATCTCCAATGGTAAAAAACTCGGTAAGATTGACTTATAGATGACTTATATTAGTATTTTAATAACAGACTCCTGAATCTCTTGCTTAACCTAGTTTCTGGAAAGATTATTAAATTGGCAACCACATCCCCAAACAGGCTCTTCTATCCAGCACTGTCAACCAATGTGCTGTGTAGTGTTTCATACTCCACAGAGGTTCCTTAACTACTTTTCTATTGTCCCCACAGCATTCAAGCTACTTGAAAGCTCAAGTCAGAAGTTTCTTCAGGGACTGGTATATTTAATTGGCAATCTGTTAGGATTGGCCTTGGCAGTTTACAAGTGCCAGTCAATGGGGCTACTGCCAACTCACGCTTCTGACTGGCTAGCTTTTATTGAACCACCTGAGGTAAGTATGAAGAATTGTCTTCCCACTCCTCCTTTGGATCATCTCCTAACTAGCCTATATCTATTCCTGAGGGAGGGATGAGGGAGATGACCTCCAGGACAAATTTCTTGGATCAAAGCTGCCAAGTCTTTTTTTGCACTCTTAATGTCAGAAAAGGACAGTATTAGATGATTTACAAGAACCCCAATCTAGTCCAAGTTTTTTTTTTAACATTCTCTTGCTTAGTCTCCGTTTAAATTCTTAATTTCCGTTTATCCTGTTTAAAGATAGCTTAATTTTCAAAATGCTGACTTGTGGTTTATTTTTCTGTCTTCTGCCTAGCGTATGGAGTACACAGGTGGGGGTCTAATCTTATGACCTGACCCATTTCCAGAAATCAACTGCTGCTCTAGGTGTCTTGCCTTGGTATTGTGAATTATTCTTCCTTCTGTTGACTCCAAAACATGCTGGATTTTAAGTGCATTGTTGCTGCATTGTGGAACAGTAAGGAAGCATTTACAGAATGTTTATCCAGAACAGGAAGGACTGGTGTGCTTTGGAGGAGTTGAAGCAAAAGATTTGCCCTGGTAAATTTCCCCTCGGTTAAAAGCAAAATAAAAAAATGTTAACTTTTAAATGTGTATAGTGCTTTCACTGAAGTTCTGCCATCGGAGAGTCCATTTTTCTATAATAGGTATATAATGCTAGAAGTGCCTGACGTCACAGGAGGATGGCCCAAGGTTATATACTGAGCACTTTACTTCTCATTTAAAAATTATGCAGAAGCAGGTGAATCAGGAAGGTATCTGTAGCAGTCTAGGCTAAATGCATACATACTCTGATTTGAATGTAAAGGTTAATTCACAGGTAAATTCTAATTTGATAAAATTTTTGATTTTATTATCCTAAAGCCAGCTGAAAAATGTATAGTGCTCGATGACCTCTTCTGGAAAAGATGGGAGTTGGAACATTTATAGCCATGATGGCGAACCTATGGCATGCGTGTCAGAGGTGGCATGCGGAGCTCTCCGATGGCATGCAAGCCATCACCCTAGTTCAGCTCTGCTGCGCACGGAAACACGCCTCCCACCAGCTAACTGGTCTTTGGGTCTCTGCCGTGCATGCACGGGGAGCGTGTGCGCATGTGCAGGGGGAGTGCACACACATGCAATGTTGAGGGCATGTGTGGGGGCCACGTGCACATTGCACTTCGAGGGTTCGGGCGTGTACGCCCGTGCTTTTGGCACTCGGTCTGGAAAAGGTTAGCCATCACTGTTTTATAGGATTCTAATTGTTTATCATTTATGTATGAGCATCAGTGAAAAATGTTGAAAGCTTCATGGAGAACAATGGGGCAGCACGGTGGCTCAACAGTTTAGAGGTTGGGCTTGTTGGCTGGAAAGCCGGCAGTCCAGGTTTGAGACCCAAGTGTCATGGGACAGGGTGACTCCCGTCCTCACCCCAGCTCCTGCCAACCTAGTAGGTTGAAAAGTTGCAAATGTGAGTAAATAAATAGGTACTTCAGTGGGAAGGTAACAGCCATCTGTGACGTCACATGACTGAAAATGTCTTCGGACAGTGCTGGTTCTATGATTTGAAATGGAGATGAGCAACTGCTCACTAACCAGCAACAACTAGTGAAGTAAAATCCGCAGGGGCTTTTTTATCTTTACGACTGACAACAGCTACTCCAAAATTCATGTACATTACTTAATTCTTAAGCCACTGATACAAATTTACTGAGGTGGGGGGGTGATAAACTTGTTATACAATAGCCTACTCACATTAGTTTCCCAGTCATGTTTGTGTGAACTAGAGCACTGGGTGTAGGTTTTCTTTTCAAAATGTGGAAAATGTAAACGTATGCCCCTATTTATATTAACTGCCTCTTTATAAACAATACCAAGGCTGTAAAGTGGATGAATGTTACGTAATGAATACATGAGCTTTGCAAGCGGAGCGACTTAGGCACAAATAAAATAAAAAAATTATATATAAAATGTTTATTCTTTTACATAATTCAAGAAGCCAAAAAAAAAAAATCACACTCCCAAATTTGACGCGATGTAAACAAGGTTGCACCCTGAATAAGTTAAAAAAAAAGAAGTCTCAGCCAAAATAAAGAGATGTCTGTGAAATTCTCTTTTTTAAAAATAAAACAAGAGGCTTTTGAGATGTGTCTTTTAAGGCTACCCCGAGGGAGTGGTCCCTGTATTCTATTCTTGAGCAAGAGGTACCAAGAGAAGGAGACATCCATCATTGAAATTAGATAGGACAAAATAGACAACAGCACCTTTCTCTAAGTTTGCTTCTGTAGAGGTAAGGGGGGAAAAAACTCCAGCCCAACACTTAATAAATGTAAGCTGTATATCCTTGTCACTTGACATCAAAGAGGGCAATCTCGCTTGGTACAGAAGGCGTGGCATTAAATTTTCTTCTTATCCAAGCTTAGAAGAGGAGATGGATCTCTTCAAAAGCCAAGAGGGCAATTTGGAAAATCAGAAAACCCTGTTCTTCAGAATAGAAAAATCGCCCCCCACCCCATTTCGATGTGTGAGGACAAAGTATGACAGCCGCCTGCCGCGGTTCTACAGAATTATCTATAAAAAGAGGAAAAGGCAGCTGCTAGTTTCCTCGACTCGGTAGAAGTGCAAAGGCCAGATGGAAAAGCGATTTCCCCATCAATATCCCCTTAACTTGGGGATCAGCCATTCTCTCCCCTTGTCGGCAAACGGCGTATCTGATTCTCAGAATACCACAAGGGGATCAGAGTTAAGCACACTGAAAAGTGACTTCCGACTTTCTAAGAGCTTATTGCGGCCTTGATTTCAGTGGGAAGGGAAGCAAAGAGACTTTGGTGCTGACCAGAAGAAAACAGCACAATGAAGGATGGGTTTCCCTTTTTTTCTAAATCACCCAGCAGTTATCTCCTTTCCCTTCTTGTTCCTCTTAACATGATAATGACAAGTAACAGCTACTCCAGCTGGGCCAAACCTGCTGTTCTAGCTGATGGATCCTCATCACTCCTTTCCTGATCTTTTGCTCCTATTAAATGCCTTGCAGTTACTACTCGCGACACGGCTCCTACGTTTCTTGAGAGGGTTTAACAGAGCAATCTCCTACCTATCTCTAAATTTCTCTCTTGCGACAAGCTTTGTGAAGATTCTAGCGCGTAGCTCCTAACTCGATGGAAGCTGAAGAAGCTACCAACTATCCTTCCTCCAAACATTGGGGCTGGAGGGGGGGAAAAAAACACCCAATTTGAAGACCCTGAATTGCCACGAGAAATGAAAGCAAATAGGTGTGGCGGTAATAGCTAGTTTCCTCAGGAGATCCAAGTGGCACATGGGAACAGGTAGGAAGCGAGTATCCGTTCGAACACAGTTCATCAGGGGGAAAACTCCCCCTCCCCCCATCCTCTATGAATAGATGGTGATGACCTCACTGCCTCCGCCCCGTACAAGCAGCACACGCTCCAGCCCCTCTGTGAGCACCTCCAGGAATTCCATATCTGCGGGTGGAAAAGAGTCAAAGGAACAACACAACATGATTCTTCAGAGCCACCTCCACTCCTTCCTGTGCCCGGCAGAAAAGGATACAGTTTTCATCGCCTTCAGGGTTTCGTGGTGGCCCAGGCATGTTCAGCAGCACAAGCTTAGCCTCGTGGGACTTGTTGACAATAACTTCATTGAGCTTGACAGCCGTGTGCATACGTCGCACGTTAGACTGATCCCTAGGTTGAGGATAGGAGAAAAAAAAAATTAGCAAAACCAAGACCCATACAAATATATCCATACAGCAAGCTTTACCAGTATATCTAATCTGGAGCCTAAGACTGGCTTGTGGGAAATAAGGTATTTATTATGGATTAGAGACTGAAAAAAACACAGCCAGAGATTCCTTCCAAAAATAAGAGGGAATGACATGGTAATTGCAGAAAAGCAAACTAAAAGTACTAGCAAGAACTTCTAATGGGCAACTTCTAACTCAGATCTGTTTAATTTAGTGTCCGACCCAACACAATGTCCCTCTGGCTTTGATCTTCCAAAGAAAAACTGGACAACACTCCACCAAATCCGGACCAACCACAGCAGGTGCCAATATTGGAAATTCAAATGGAGATTGCTTGATTTTATTTATTTATTTATTTAGTTCAATTTATATGTCGCCTTTCTCCGGAGGCTCAGGGCAGCTTACAATGCATTTAAAAAACCATTATAAAAACATTTAAAATTAAAACATTAAAACTTATTCACACCATTCATGGCCGGATCTCACAAGATCGCAACAGCGAGATCAACAGCCCCAGGCCTGCCGGAAAAGTCAGTTCTTCACTGCTTTTCGGAAGGCCAATAGGATGGGGGTGGTCCGGACCTCAGGAGGTAACTGGTTCCAGAGAGCTGGGGCAGCCACTGAGAAGGCCCTCCCTCGCAGGCCTGCCAGCCAGCATTGTTTAGCTGACGGGACCCGGAGGAGATCAACTCCGTGGGATCTTACCGATCGCTGGGAGCTATGTGGTAGAAGGCGGTCTCAAAGATAACCTGGCCTGATAATATTGTGACTTGGGGACTGTCCTGCAAACTTTACATCATATTGCAACAGAATGCTCCCTCAAAAGATATCCCGGATCCCTGGAAGAACTACATCCTCTCAAGGGCACTGCTGTCCAGTGGTTAAACTATCTAGATATCCGGCTATAAACTTACTCACTCTAGTAACTGCTCATACATAATTTAATTTTATTTATCATTCATACTGTGGGTTTTTAAAATAATTCACTGTAAGGTAAAGGTAAAGGTTCCCTTCGCACATATGTGCTGGTTGTTCCTGACTCTAGGGGGCATTGCTCATCTCTGTTTCAAAGCCGAAGAACCAGCGCTGTCCAAAGACGTCTCCGTGGTCATGTGGCCGGCATGACTAAACGCCAAAGGCGCACGGAACGCTGTTACCTTCTCACCAAAGGTGGTCCCTATTTTTCTACTTGCACTTTTTATGTGCTTTCGAACTGCTAGGTTGGCAGAAGCTGTGACAAGTCACAGGAGCTCATCCCATTACGCGTCACTAGGGATTCGAACTGCTGAACTGCCGACCTTTCGATCAACAAGCTCAGTGTCTTAACCACTGAGCCACCGCGTCCCTTATAATCCACCATACTGGGAGTTTTATATTTTGATGCACATTTTATAGGCCGTTTTTGTAAATTTTATACACTCATGCTGTTATGCGCTAATGCCATACAAAATAAATCAACAAAGGAAGAACCCTGGCACATGCTGGAGATGGAGAGCATTACTCATGGAAAACAATGGGATCTATGGTGGAAAAAAATGAAACACATTTAGAATAAAACCCAGACAGGATAGTGGTAAGATTAAGCTAGGTTTTTGTATCACTTTCCAAGAAGAATTTGGAAGCAGAATAGCAATAGCGACAGCACTTAAGACTTATACACCGCTTCACAGTGCTTTACGGCCCTCTTTAAATAGTTTACAGAGTCAGCATATTGCTCCCAACAATGTGGGTCCTCATTTTACTGACCTCAGAAGGATGGAAGGCCGAGTCAACGGTGAGCCGGTGTGAACTGAACTTCCAAACTGCTGGCAATTGTCAGTCTGCAGAATTAGCCTGCAATACTGCCTTCTAACTTCTAACTTCTACGAATGGTGGGCAAATAGGAAGGGTTTAACGACAGTAGAAGTATATATCAGAAATAATCCAGTAATTGACAACTTACGGACGCATGTTGAGCAGATCTTGGAAACCCTCCAGGGTCTTGAGTTTGTGTCCATGAGAAGCCATGTATTTATCCTTGGTCCAGGTCATGTGCACTTTCTCCTGGTAGGTCTCAGTCTCTTCATCATCATCTGAGCCAATGCTGGTCAGTCGCAACATTGAGTTCCTGTCTTTCACAAGCTGGGCCTATATACAAGGATGGCATCACTGATGCTTTAGTGAAAAAGAAACCCAAATCGGTTGCTCTTTTTCAGCCTATTTTCTCCCACCTTTGTTTCAGCCCAGTTCACCTCGCGTTCTCGTTCTGTTTTAGAGAGACGCATTTGGCGCAACATCTGGGAGCGCTGTTCCATCATCAAAGTGCGCTCATACGTGTAGGCAGAGATGTCACTGTCATGCTGCAAGAAAAGAAAAGGGATGGCTGATATTGGACAACCCTCCCAACCCCATGTCCTGGCAAAGAAATTCAACAGAGGGACATCTCCTGTAGCACAAACGGTTGTCTACGGCAACTGGTGCCTCCCACAGCCCTCCTCTTTATGTTCCAGCCAGGGAGGGGTTTGTTAACGTCTCCTTCTTTTCCTGGATAGCCGGCCCTCAGCCCTCTGTTGCTCTCCTCTCCTTGCTGCACATACGCATATCTGGGATGGGCCCCAGCTGTTCCTCCCCTTCACTCAGCTCAGACCCCAAAAGTGAGCAGAGGGGCCTTGCTCTGCATCTGGCTCTGAGTCCTCTTGCTCCTCGGAGCCTTCCAAAGGCTTCGATGTTAACCCAGGCACCCCCTCCACCTCCTCTGACTCATCTGACAAAGCACAACATCCAACCCCTGGCTAGGGTTAGGGTTAGGGTTCAACATTCTTCCATCACTCGTAACCTTAGCCAGATTTCAACCAATGGAACATCTGCACAGAGGAACTTCTCTAGGAATATGCATGTCTACAGGCATTCTGTGCAAAAGAAGAGTAGCCAGCCTATAACTCTTTCCTTGAAAGAGAACACATTTTTTAAAATATCTCTTTTTGATCATTTTGATCATAGCATTGAGTAGGCAAGGCTAAAGGAACCAGGAAATAGTACGAGTGTGGCTTCCATCAGATATGTGTCTAATCCCTTTTGCACCATTAAATATGTCTCTGTCCATTAGATATATTTCTAATCCCTTTTTCTTCATTGGATATGTCTCTATCCATTAGATATGTCTCTAATCCCTTTTTCCCAATTAAATACGTCTCTGTCCATTAGGTACAGGTAGTCCTCGACTTACAACAATTCATTTAGTGACCATTCAAAGTGATGATGGCACTGAAAAAGTGACTTATGACCATTTTTCACACTTAACGACCATTGCAGCATGCCCATGGTCATGTGATCACAATTCGGACACTTGACAACTGGCATGTATTTATGATGGTTGCGATGTCCCGGGGTCACATGATCCCCTTTTGCAACCTCCTGACAAGGAAGGTCAATGGGAAAGCCAGATTCACTTAACAACCGTGTTACTAACTTAACAACTGTAGTGATTCACTTAACAGTGACAAGATAGGTCGTAAAATGGGGCAAAAGTCCCTTAATACTTGACAACAGAAATTTTGGGCTCAACTGTGGTCGTAAGTCAAGGACCAACTGTATACCTCGAATCCCTTTTCCCTTTTTGGATATGTTTCTATTTATTAGTTATGCCTCTAATCTTTTTTTCCCCATTAGACAAAACCGTGGTGGCACAGTGGTTAGAATGCAGTATTGTAGGCTAATTCTGCTGACTACTGACTGCCAGCATTTCGGCAGTTTCAGTCTCACCAGCTCAAGGTTGACTCAGCCTTCCATCCTTCCAAAGTCAGTAAAAGGAGGACCTAGATTGTTGGGGACAACAGGCTGACTCTGTAAACCGCTTAGAGAGGATTGTAAAGCACTGTGAAGTGGTATATAAGTCCAAGCGGTATTGGTGTTGCTAGATACATTTCTAATCCCCAGTGTGTTGTGTCACTCACCATCTCAACAACTTCCACCTCTGCCTCAATACGAAGGTGATACAGGAAGGTGGCCAGATCCTTCTTCATCTGTATGCTATTGTCCTCCAGTTGGGCTACGGTAAAGATGCGGATTTTGCACTTACGCCACACCTTTGAAGCAAGGGGAGAAGGAAATCAGTAAACTCCACCCTGCCAATTTACCCCTGCTCCGTGTCTCAGCAATGCCCGCCCATCACTACCTTGTGCTGCTTGAGAAGGAAGGGGAGGAGCATCAACATCCCTCCATCGTGCACAATCCACCAGACATCAATGTGGCCCTCGGTAAAAGGCTCTGCGTTGCTAGGGTAAAAAGCCACGTTCTTTGCCACCAGCAAGGCCAGGCGGGCAGCTGTAGTCACGCGGACAGTGCCTGAAGAACAGGAAGAGGAATTCATGCAATATGGTTCGGTTGACTCTTCTGACCTCTTGCCTCCAAATGCCTTGCCCCATAGGGAAAGCGTACCAATAAAAGTCTTCCAAGCACGGGCATCCTCACTCTGACGCCAGGCATTCGGCCAGCCCATCACCACGGTGTTGTGCTTCATGCCACCCAGCCCGCAGGACTGAATGAGGTGGGAGATGCCCTCTCGCACCTTGGCAGCCACCACGATCTGGCAGAAACCTTTCACTCGTTCTGCCTCCATCAGATGTTTGATGGTCTGAAATAGCAATAGCAAAAGCACTTAGACTTATATACCTCTTCACAGTCCTCTGTAAGTGGTTTACAGAGTCAGCTTATTGCACCCAACGATCTGGGTCCTCATTTGACCCACCTCGGAAGGATGGAAAGATTAAGTCAGCCTGGTGAGATTCGAATTGCCAAACTGCAGGTAACCAGTAGTCAGCAGAAGTAGCCCGCAGTACTGCATTCTAACCACTGCACCGCCACGGCTCTTAAAAGTTGCTTAAAGGCAAAGCTGCAAAAAAGTTCCTCAGCATTGCAAACAGAGGAAACTTTACAGGTAGCCCTCGACTTACAACAGTTCACTTAGTGACCGTTCAAAGTTACAACGGCACTGAAAAAAAGTGACCTAGGAACATTTTTCCAGACTCATGACCGTTGCAGCATCCCCATGGCATGTGATTGACATTCAGATGCTTCACAACTTATTCACATTTATGACGGTTGCAGTGTCTGGGGGTTATGTGATCCCCTTCTGACAAGCAAAGTCAATGAGGAAACCAGATTCGCTTAACAACCAGTTTACTAATTTAACAGCTGCAGGGATTCACTTAACAAATGTGGCAAGAAAAGTTGTAAAATGGGGCAGAACTCACATAATAAATTCCTCACTTAGCAAAATTTTGGGCTAAATTGTGATCGCAAGTTGAGGACTACCTATATTGTAAATGTAGAGCTATGAGGATTTACATCTGAAGAGCGTCCTTCATAGTGCGTGGATTCATTAGAAAGTTTGCAGCAGGACCTTTAAGGAAAAACAGGCTCATTTCTGGACATGGGAGTATATCTGATGATTTCATTCTGAAGAAGAGCAAAAATCTGTAATATATAGGTAGCCCTCGACTTAACAATAGTTTGTTTAGTGACCATTCAGTTACAACAGCACTGAAAGTGACTATCCAGTAGCAAAAAAATACTGGATAAGAAAGTGGCTAGAAGAAATAGTAAAACAACAAATAAAGTTAAAACCAGAGATATTCTTACTAGGCATACTAACAGGGAAGTATAACAAAAAAAAAAATGCTACATGTAATGCTACATGTAATAACAGCATCCAGAATTGTTTACACACAAAATTGGAAAAATGGAAATATACCCTCTGAGAAAATGGTGATAAAGAAAATATTAGATTACGCAGAGATGGACAGGCTGACAATGGAAATAAAAGATAAAGGCGAAACGGAATGTTATTTGATTTGGAATGTATGGTATAATTGGTTAGATAGTAGATGCAAAGATTAGAAAATCAACAAGAAAAGATGATTAACGAACTAGAAAATAGAAATAAGTATAAAGATAAGTATAGATGAAGAATATATAATATTATAGTACAAGAAAATATTATAAAATGTAAAAAATATTCAGAATAACAATTACATATTGTACACATAATAGCATATATTTTTAAAAAATTGTGGAGGTATACAGGTACAGGTGTGTTGTAAAGATGGAAATCGTAATGTAAAATGAAGAAAATTGTTTAATAAAGTATTTTTTTTAAAAAAAAGAAAAGTGACTTATGACTTTTTCACACTACTGACTGTCGCAGCATACTCATGGTTACGTGATCAAAATTTGGCTGATTGGCAACTGGTTTATATTTATGATGATTGCAGTGTACAAGGTCATGCAATACCCTTTAGCACCTTCTGATATGCAAAGTCAGTGGGGAATCCACATTCACTTAACAACCATGTTACTAACTTAGCATCGGCAGTGTTTCACTTAACCCCTGTGGCAGGAAGTCTTGTAAAATGGGACAAAGGTCACTTAACAACTGACTCGCTCAGCTGCAAAAATGTTGGACTCAACTGTGGTTGTAAGTCATGGATTACCTTTAGATATTAGAACTTTAGTGGTAGATATTAGTAGAATACATGCTACTAACATTATAAACTGAATCAATGTATCTCAGGAGATTGACACAAGCAATCTTCTGTTTTCATATTTGGGTTTGAGCCAGGCACAATCATAAGATAAAGCATCAGGTTCAGGTGGAAGCAAAGAAATTATTCAACGCTGGAAGTTTTTAAGAAGAGATTGGATAATCATTTGTCTGAAATAGTATAAGGTTTCCTGCCTGAGCAGGGGATTGGACTAGGACCTCCAAGGTCTGTTGCTGTTGCTGTTGCTGTTGCTGTTGCTGTTGCTGATGCTGTGCTATGCTAACTTTATGATGGCATCATCCAACACATAAAAGTTAGCTTGACCGAACTCAACTTCTAATTTACGTTTCATGATATGGCAAGCTTGAAAAAAACCCTCTTAACAAAAGTACAGTTAAAAGATTTTAGGTAGTCAGATTGAGAAAGGTACCTTACTTAATTCCTGAACTCTTGGAAAACATGTTAGCTGGAGAAGACGTCTCACTGAGCCAACCGAAAGATGAAATATCAGGCATTCTCCTACTTTTTTTATCTCTTAATTATCCAAAAGCTTTGCTTTACATGGATATAGCTGCTCTTCTTGCAGCCTTCTACCTTAATCGGTGGCACCCATTCAGCTGAAATGCACTTCCATGAAATCTCACCTGTTCAGCAGCCAGGGCTTCACTGTAACTCTCCAGGAAGTTGCCCACCATGACCGAACCTACAATAGTGAGTCCTTTGCCAGCTTTCAGCTGAGAAGCAAAGGTGAGCAGATGTGGATGCTTCACATGGAGATCCTCATCCAACTTTAGCAGCACCAGCAACTGTGGCCTAGGGAGAAATGGAAGCCCAACACACGCATGTTAAAAAAGTTGAAGGAGCAGATGAATTTAGATTTTTGCCCCAAAGCACACACAAGACGTAAGAATTTATTCTGTAGCAAATAATACATGTAAATCCCCATGCGTAAGTATTCCGTTTGATCAAGCTTTAGTAAGGCCACATTTGGAATACCCTGTTTCCCCAAAAATAAGGCATCCCCTGATAATAAGTCCAATCGGGCTTTTGAGCGCATGTGCTAAAATAAGCCTCCCCCCAAAAATAAGCCCTTCCTAAAATATTTAAACGCAGAGCTGGAAATCAGGTACGACGGCAAGAGGAGCCCCATCTTGCTCCACGCGTCCCAAAACAATACCTCCCCGAAAATAAGGCCAAGCGCTTATTTCAGGGTTCAAAAAAATATAAGACAGGGTCTTATTTTTGAGAAAACACGGTAGTGCATCCAGTTTTGGTCACTGTATTACAAAAAAGGCATTGAGATTTTGGAAAAAGGGCAAAGAAGAGCAACTAAGATGATTAAAGGCCTGGAGGCTCAAAACATGAAGAACGGTTGCAGGATTTGGGTTTGGCTAGTCTAGAGAAATGAAGGACTAGGGGGGACATGATAGCAGTATTCCAGTATTTGAGAGGCTGCCACAAAGAAGAGGGGATTGACTCATTTTCCAAAGCACCAGAGAGCAGGACAAGAAACAATGGATGGAAACTAATCAAGGAGAGAAGCAACCTGAAATTAAGGAGAAATTTCCTAACAGTGAGGACAATTAATCAGTGGAATGTCTTGCCTTCAGAAGCTGTGCTTCATTACTGGAGGTTTTTAAGAAGAGACTTGTGTATAGCCATTTGTCTGAAATGGTGTAGGATACAGATGTCAAACTCCATCGTGTCACGGGCTGGATCACGATGTTTTTTGCCTTTGCGGAGCCGGGGTGGGCGTGGCCTGCACATGATATATCCAGCCCGCGGGCCACCAGTTTGACAGGTCTGGTATCGGTTCTGCTGCTTGAAGACTGGAAGACCTCCAAAGTCCCTTCCAGCTCTATTCTGAATTTGAGTTTGCATTTTCTATGCAGCACTACCCCATGTTGAGGCAACAAGAGTCCGAAAGCAATCCGTGGCTTCCCTACCTCCAATTTTTGGTGTGGGGTGGCCCCTCCTCAAGGCGCAGCAAAGCAAAACGGGCGGCACTCAGGGACAAGCCACGGATGCCATCGCCCCATTCCTTCTCAGCCCTGCAAGGGAAGCAGAGTTCAGCCAAACAAGCATGTCACGGTAAGTCTGTCCTTTCCAGAATCGTTGCAGACAGAACAAAACATGTATTCAGGCGATCCTTAGAGCAGGGTTAGGATCAGGGTTAGAGAGGGAGTAAATCTAACAAGAAATCCTCACTGAGCCAAGGCCACACAGAACCAATCCAAAACAGTTCAGGAGCACTCACCCATGATACTCAATATATTTGTAGATCATGCCAGCTATCACCATTGCAATAATTGCGTAATACCAGGAGGAGATGAACATGAGCGCCACACAGATACTCATGCCCATGAAGGAGAGTATCCTATGAGGAGAGAAATTGGAAGGAGAAGGATACACACACATAGTTTCCTAATGACTGTGGGAGCTAAAATCCAACCAAAGAGAATACTTATGGATCTTGCTGGCGCCCCGTTGCCCTTTTACGTATAATCTGCAGGCCAAATTTATTTTGTCATAATGGACTGTAGGAGTTAGGAGTCTAAATTCCCCCCAACCTCTTCATTTTCAGCATCCATTTGTGCCCCCTCCCTCCCTTTTCAACAATTAGGTAGTAGAGCGTTCTTACCAATGGTAGTACCGGAAGCGTGGTCTCCAATTGGGAGTGCGTAGTAAAGTTTGTAAGGCGCAGGCTAGGTTGACAAAGAGGTAACACATCAGGAAGAACCTAGAAAAGCATCTGGTAGTGTCAGCAATGTGCGTTTCCTTGGGACCCCAACCCACGAGGAAGAGGACACTTACATGGAGAGAATAGGGGCAACCATGTCCAAGGATGCAATCAGGATCCCAAGTTCTGCAATGCCGGCGGTCAGAAGCAAAGCCCAGGTAGGCTCCCCATTGGCCTTACCGTGGCCAAAAACCTAAAACGAATGCATGTGTGAGAGAAGCAGAGAGCATATGACTTAACCCTATACATTCCCTCTAAGAGCAGTGATAGCGCAGTGGTTACAGTGCAGTACTGCAGGCTACTTGTGCTGCCTGCTGGCTGCCTGCAATTTGCCGGATCGAATCTCACCAGTCTCAAGGTTGACTCAGCCTTCCATCCTTCCAAGGTGGGTCAAATAAGGACCCAGATTGTTGGGGGCAATATGCTGACTCTGTAAACTGCTTAGAGAGGGCTATAAAAGCACTGTCAAGTGGTATATATAATAGAATAACAGAGTTATTAGCTTTCCAACTCTGTTATTCTATTCTAATTGGAAGGGACCTTGGAGGTTTTCTAGTCCAACCCCCTGCTTAGGCAGGAAACCCTACACCACTTCATACAAATGATTATCCAACATCTTCTTAAAAACGTCCAGTGTTGGAGCATTCACAACTTCTGGAGGCAAGTTGTTCCACTGATTAATTGTTCTAACTGGCAGGAAATTTCTCCTTAGTTCTAAGTTGCTTCTCTCCTTGATTAGTTTCCACCCATTGCTTTTTGTCCTACCCTCAGGTGCTTTGGAGAATAGCTTGACTCCCTCTTCTTTGGGGCAGCCCCTGAGATATTGGAACACTGCTATCATGTCTCCCCTAGTCCTTATTTTCATTAAACTAGACATGCCCAGTTCCTGCAACCGTTCTTCATATGTTTTAGCCTCCAGTCCCCTAATCATCTTTGTTGCTCTTCTCTGTACTCTTTCTAGTCTCAAAATCTTTTTTACATTGTGGTGGCCAAAACTGGATGCAGTATTCCAAGCGTGGCCTTACCAAGGCATTATAAAGTAGTATTAACACTTCACGTGATCTTGATTCTATCCCTATTTATGCAGCCTAGAACTTGTTGGCTTTTTTGGCAGCTGCTGCACACTGCTGGCTCATATTTAAATGGTTGTCCACTAGGACTCCCTCTCACAGTTACTACTATGGAGTGAGATACCACATATACTTTACCTATGCATTTTGGTTTTCTTGCCTAAATGTAGAACCTTAATTTTTTCATCATTGAATTTCATTTTGTTAGATGGCGCCCAATGTTCAAGTCTAAGTGCTATTGCTATTGCTACCTGAAAGCAAAATATGCCACTCACCCGCAGGAAGGGTATGATGTTGTCCTTAGCTATGGCTTGCAGTAGCCGGGGTGCACCTGTGAGGCTCTGCAGCCCAGCTCCACATGTGGAGAAGAACGAACCAATGACTATGACCCAAGGGGATGGCCAGGAGAGGGTGCCCACCACCAGGTTTCCCTTTACTGTGTCGCCAAATCTATCGGATGGACACAAGAATGAAAGATTGTTAAGTTGAATCCTTAAAAGTTTCACGGCTAGAAGTGCACCTGAGGCAAACTAGGGAAAGAAATGATATGCTCTAACAGGCAGTCCTAGATTTACAGCCACAACTGAGCCCAAAATTTATTCTGCTAAGTGAAAACTTAGCAAAAGTTTTCTTAGCAAAAGTGAAATGGGCCCCATTTCACCATCTTTCTTGCCCCAGCGGTTAAGTGAATCATCGATTGCAGTTGTGAAGTTGGTAACACGGTTGTTAAGTGAATCTGGCTTCCCCATTGACTTTGCTTGTCAGAAGTTAACAGAAAGGGATCATACATGACCCCGGGACACTGCAACTGTCATAAATATGAGTCAGTTGCCACACATCTGAATTTTGATCACATGGTCATTTGGATACTGCACTGTCGTAAGTGTGAAAAATAGTCCTAAGTCACTTTTTTCAGTGCCGTGGGAACTTTGAATGGTCACTAAATGAACTGTCGTAAGTGGAGGACTACCTGTACTATATTTATTATTAGATCCATACACACTCATTGCAAAGATCCTTCTGATTCCAGTGGAAATAATACAATTCATAGGGTGCATTCCAGTGGTGGAATTCAATTTTTTTTTACTACCGGTTCTGTGGGCGTGGCTTGGTGGGTGTGGCTTGGTGGGCATGGCAGGGGAAGGATACTGCAAAATCCCCATTCCCTCCCCACTCCTGGGGGAAGGATATTGCAAAATTTCCATTGCCACCCCATTCTGGGGCCAGCCAGGGTGGTATTTGCCAGTTCTCCGAACTACTCAAAATTTCCTCTACCGGTTCTCCAGAACCTGTCAGAACCTGCTGGATTTCACCCCTGGTGCACTCCTGTATGTGAGAATTTTCCTGAATCAGGAAAAAGCCTATCTGTCTAGTAACTTCTGTCACACAGAGATCATCCTAACGTATCTGGGAAGTTCATAAAGAGGCTAGACGAATGAGTGTCCTTTGGCATTGTTGCTATTTAGCAAACAGTATTTAAAGCAGCTTCAAAGGGACTTTATTCCTGGTAAAATAGATGTATAATTGCATTCTAACTAGATCCAAGCCAGAGAAAATGAGCAAAAAAAATTGCTAACAACCATTTGTGTGCATGCTTATGTACATGCCTTTGAGTACTGGCGACTGCCTGGTGTTCTCTTGGCAAGTTTTTCATAAGTGGCTTTGACCTTGCCTGCTTCCTAGGGCTGAGAGCGTGTGACTAGCTCAAGGTCACCCTGCTGGTTTTGTGCCCAAGTTAAGGCAGATCTAGAACTCCTAGTTCCTAGCTTGATGCCTTAACCCAGCGGTCCCAACCTTTATGGCTTGGTGGCCTGGTGAGGAGTAACAGGGGAACTGGCCCACTGCTAGCGCAAGTTGAGCTGTGTGTGTGTGTGTGTATGTGTACTTGTCCGCCACTTGCATAAGTCAAGCTACGTGCGCACACACATGCATCAACCAGCCGCTGGCACAGCCCATTTCTGAATGAGCCAGGGTCCAGTAGTGGGCCACACCCCAGGGATTGAGGACCGCTGCCTTAACCAATACATCAAACTATCTCTAATCACAAATATCCGGCTGATCCCAGCCAGATATCAAGCATTCCCGATGCTGACCACAAACGAACTTTATAGCCAACCCAATCTAAAATCTACACACAGAAAAATGTACCAGCAGTTTCTACTATTGGAAAGTTATAAGATTAGAGAAAGCCAAGGTAGTATTACTTACTTGTCCCTGAGTACAACGCCTTCTACGCATGCCCCAAACAGCACTACGTTGCTAAGATCTGATGTGGCAAGAGTCAAAGGTAAATTTTGTGCAAAGAACAAGGTAGTAAAAATAAACAACCAGTCTTCTCATAAACTAACTTTATCAAATCATTTTTAGCTTCCCTTGCTTATTAATCCTAACATATCCCAGTCAGGTATCTGCCAAACAAAGGCACAGTCCTGGTATAAGTGCAAAATGAACTACATGGTTGAAATTGTAAACAGCTTTCCTTGCCAGTAACTTTGTATATGTGGGTGAGGAAACATAATTTCAAGACAACAAAGCAGTAATCCTCACTGGAGAAAATTCTGGGTTCAATGTGCCCCCAAACATCTGGAATTTGTTAAAGCATTATTAAAAGAGTCCAAATTCCAGCAAGACATTCTTTTTGGTCAAGAATGAGGAAGGTTGGCCAAGAGGAAGATGATGTTCTGACAACTCTCTCTACACCAGTATTTCTCAACCTTAGCAACTTTTAAGATGCTTGGACTTGAGCTAATTCCCCAGGCGGCATGCCGGCTCAGGAATTCTACGAGTTGAAATCCAGATATTTTAAAGTTGCAAAATTGAGAAACTCTGCTCTACCCAGATACTGGTCTAAAAGAGCAACTGAAATTGTTTGCTAGTTCTCTACAAGCCCCAGATTCCACAAATAGATAAACATGTCTATGCTTGTGTCAAAATGATTACAAAGCCATGCAAAACAGTCCTTATCGATCTTGATTTTTTATTAAACTGATTTTAGAAGGAACGGAATGTAAAAAGGCTGGTTATCTGGAGGCGCCTCCAGCTGCTGCAAAGGATACACACAAAGGAGGTGGTGAGAATAGCCAGGATGGTACCGATGGGAATTGATTTCTGGGCATCCTTTAGGTCCCCTGAACGATTTGACCCAGCCATAATTCCTATGAAGACAACACCATTTAAATAAAAGAGTTGATCCATTTCTGGAATGTACATTTTATGTGACTGAACGAAGTAACAATAAGGGACAATATTGACTGGTATTTTATATAAAAGTTTTTAGGAGGAGAACCATTGCTTCAATAAAATTAAATGTTAACTGAGTAAGTGGAGTTGGTTCAACTTGGGAAAAAGCAACAATAAATCTGAATCTCACCTTTCTATTGGACTTAATCTAGCCAGGATCAAGCTCCTTTTACTAAAGTTGAAAAATTGTAGTTGAAATCTTCAGGAGCCCAAATGCAGGTAGCCCTCAACTTATGACCACAACTGAACCCAAAATTTATGTTGCTAAGCGAGACTTTTCTTGCCACATTTGTTAAGTGAATCACTGCAGTTGTTAAATCACGGTTGTTAAGTGAATCTAGTTTCCCATTGACTTTGCTTTTCCGAAAGTTGCAAAAGGGGATTACATGACCTCAGGACACTGCAACAGTCACAACTGTGAATCAGTTGTCACCCATGTGAATGTAAATCATGTGACCATGAGGATGCTGTAATGGTCGTGTGAAAAATGGCCATAAGCATAAGTAACTTCGAACGGTCACTAAGCGAACTGTTGTATAGGCCTCATAGCTAACAAATGTACCCTTCTAAGATGGCTTGTTTTTGAAGCCATACTGGATAGAGAGCTCAACAGCAATACAGGCACTTACCGGTGACAGAAGGGAAAAATATACCCACAAGAAGGGTAAAAGAAGTGGTGATATCAGCCAGGACGTACTGCTGATTCAGAGCTCCTCCCACATCAGCCGAGTGCAAAGATGACTTCTCAAGTATTTCACCTTTCGTCAGATAGCTGCTCCAAAGATTCTCTGCAATTATGGCACCATCATCATTATCACCATCACCACCATCACCATCTCATTTATTTGAAGAACTTTGGATAGTGTAATAGTGCTGCGCCTCCCCTCCCCCCCCCCCCCCCCCAATCCTATGATCTTTTTAATGATTAGGCTGAGAAGCATCCCAAAAAAACTTCACAGTCACTACTACAATCTTCCTCCTTCTATCCTGGCCACTTTTTACAGAGGCACGATGGACAGAATTTTAACAAACTGCATCACTTTGGTTAGGTGGCAGCGGTGCCTCAGATAGAAAGCCCCTACAGAAAGTGGTAAGGACAGCCGAGAAGATTATAGGAAGATTGCTTGCTGTTATTCATGATATTGCTTATAAGCACTATGTGTTAAAGCTCAAAGCATAGTTAGAGACCCCACATACCCACTTTACGGTCTGTTTCTGTTGCTCTGCTCTGGGAGGAGGTTTCGAAATATTTCTGGCAGGACTACCCAATTCTGTAACAGCTTTGTTCCCTATGCCATCTGTCTGGTAAATTTACAAGATTCGTTTTTCTCACCATGTACATGTATACAACTGAACTAAACTGTGTTGTTTCTGTGTCATAGAATATATGTGGGTATATGTATAACTATGTATGTATGTATTTATTGTCATGTTTATGTAGTGTATATTGGAGGTGGTGACCTTTGAGAACTGTATGCAATGACATTTCATTTAATGTATGCCGATCAGTGTACATTCAAGGTGACAATAAAGTTATTCTAAAGCTAAATCTAAGAAACGACTCAAAGAGCAACAACAATAACACTTTTGCTAGACAAAGAACATAAGGAACCCTTTCTCACCAGCAATAACACCACTGGCTAGTCCTGGAATTCCTTGGATAGCAGTAACATTGTTGTGTTGGAAATACTCATCGCAAGAGGCATTGAGGAGACTGCTATGGTTGCAAAAGCGTGTCCAGAGGAACGTGGGTATGGTCAAGTTACCATACTCCTTGGCCTTGGCACATGTCTGAATATGGTGCTGGGAGAGGGAACGATTCCCCAGCATGCACACACTGAATGGAGAGAGAAATAAAAGATGAGCAAATTGGTTGGACTTCAAAAGGGGACAAGTGTGAAGGTTGGTACATGCTGCTATCCGTGGGAATGGTGAGTTGTTGTTCTATTTGTACATACAAACGAGACATTCTAGGGTTGGGAAGGAAATTCTCAATAAAGGAGAATATTTGTAGCTCAGGGTCGAAATGAAAGGCCTTTGGTGCTCTCTGAGCTGTTTTCTTGCAGACTAGACGAGATGTTAGCTAGTTTGGATAATGAAACATCCGCAAGAGAACAACCAAACTCAGAGAGCACTAAGGAGAGCACAGCTCATTTACCGGCCATTCTATGTTTCCCAACACCTTTAGGGGCAGGATTGTGGGGAAGCCACCCACTTGCCACAGATTTCAACGGGAGTTTAGTTAGCCATCTCGGAGTATGCTAGTAACCTACAGAAAATCAGGAGGTGCAAAGGAGGACTTGATGACACCAGCGTAAATAGCCAGAATGGAGACGATGACGCAGGCCAGGAAAAGAGAAGCAAACTTGTTCACGTAACGCACTCCCACAAATACCACCAGCACCATAAGCAGCAGGAAGGCCGAGCCATAAACCCGCATGTTGTTCAGCATGGCTGCCGGCTCCTTCAGGGGATCATCGCTGTGGAAGATGGCTGCCTTGGGGGCAATGTACATCTGAGAGGAGGCAAGAATGAGTCACACGTCACCTTCGGCCTAGTCAGAGGAGTGAAAATACAAAAAGATGCGGAGTTGGCACGATGGTAGCAAGAGACGCTCCGATCCGCAGTGTTCCTGCCTCGCAGAGGAGCTGTAGCCGACTGGCAGGACTTAACACCTCACAATTACAACACCGTGTTGTATCTTATGGGTTTTCCTGTGAGGTGCTTGAATACCTACCAGAAAGATTTCAATAGCCCCCAAGATGTACATAGAAGCAGCAAAGGTAGTGCCGAGATAGAAGCAGAGTCCTACAGCTCCTCCAAACTCAGGGCCCAGAGCTCGTGAAATCATGAAGTATGATCCTCCAGCTGCAGAGAGGCAACAAAGACAGAAGACGCAGAGGGGAAATCTATTATTCCTGCTTTTTCACTCATTCCAAGCCCCTCACTTTTCAGAAGGACCTGCCCCGTGGCTTTCAAAAACAAACTCAAGTATAGTAAAACCAACAGCAGGACAACATCAGCCCCCCCCCAAAACACAAATAGAGGTAGTCCTCGACTTATGACCACAAACTGATCAAAATTAGTAAGACAGGTGTTAAGTGAAGTTTGCTCCATTTTATGACCTTTCTGTGGGACACGGTGGCTCAGTGGTTAAGACACTGAGTTTGTTGATCAAAAGGTCAGCAGTTCAACGGTTTGAATCCCTAGTGCCGCGTAATGGGGTGAGCTCCCATTACTTGTCCCAGCTTCTGCCAACCTAGCAGTTCGAAAGCACGTAAAAAATGCAAGTAGAAAAATAGGGACCACCTTTGGTGGGAAGGTAACAGCGTTCTGTGTGCCTTTGGCATTTAGTCATGCCGGCCACATGACCACAGAGACGTCTTTGTACAGCGCTGGGTCTTCGGCTTTGAAACGGAGATGAGCAATGCCCCCTAGAGTCGGGAACAACTAGCACATATGTGCAAGGGGAACCTTTACTTTTACTATAACCTTTCTTGCCATAGTTGCTAAATGAATCATTGTAAAGTTAGTAACATGATTGTTAAGTGAATCTGGCGTTCTCATTGACATTGCCTGTCACAAGGTCACAAAAGGTAATACATGACTCTGCACTTTATGACTGCAATTGTCATAAATTTGAGTCAGTTGCCAAGCATCTGAATTTTGATCATGTGGCCATGCTGCAATGGTCATAAGTGGGGAAAACGGTCATAAATCACTTTTTTCAGTGCCATTGTAACTTCAGTCACTAAATGAACTGTTGTAAATCGAGGACTTCGTCTAACCATAGTGGCACAGTGGTTAGAGTGCAGTATTGCAGGCCCATCATCGATCCTTGAATTCGATTCTGACCTGCTCAAGATTGACTCAGCTTTCATCCTTCTGAAGTCAGTAAAATGAGGAGCCAGATCGTTGGAGGCAATATGTTGACACTGTGTAAACTACTCAAAGAGTGCTATAAAGCACTATGGGGCGGTTTTAAGTCTAAGTGTTATTGCTATAACCATGGTTAGAGAAAGAATTCCGTGCTTTCTGGGCCACCAGTGAAAGGGAGGACATTCTCCATATAAACTAACCAGATTTCTAAGGAGAGCATTCAGGAGAATTTCTGAATATGATTTGATTTGAAGGTGGGTACTATGCACATGGGAGAAGGCAGTTTTAAAATGTTGGTACAAGTGGTGTAATTCAATTTTTTTTACTACCGGTTCTGTGGACGTGGCCTGGTGGGCGTGGTGTGGCTTGGTGGGCATGGCAGGGGAAAGATACTGCAAAATCTCCATTCCCACCCCATTCCAGGGGAAGGATACTGCAAAATCCCCATTCCCTCCCCACTCCTGGGGGAAGGATATTGCAAAATCTCCATTCCCACCCGACTCTGGGGCCAGCCAGAGGTGGTATTTGCCACTTCTTTGAACTACTTAAAATTTCTGCTACCGGTTCTCTAGAATCTGTCAGAATCTGCTGGACTTCACTCCTGGTTAGTACTTACCAGGCACTACTCCATTAGTGGCAATGGCGCTCATGGAGATGGCTGTCAGCAATGTCTAAGGAGGACACGAGAAATTGTCAGCAGAAGCATTTAGGAGACAAATACAGGCAGAAGCAAATTCTTAGTTTGTAATGTATAAAGAATCACTGATAGAACTTATAACTTTTGGCTATTATTTTGACAAATCTAAATTAGCTTCCCCCCTACCCTCAGTTTTACATTTTGATAAAAATCAAATTATGCCCCTTCTTCTCCTTTTAGTTTTCCTTGTTATTATGGGTAATGTAGACAAAATACCAATGTGGAAGTGAGCAAAATGGTTTTAGTCAGGTGGACCTTTCCAAAAATTCAGAAATAGATTAACCAAAGACGGGGAAGAACAGATATGGAAATAAAGACTGCAAGTGATCTCAACACAAAAACTGACTACATCTACAAAGCGGATTATTTTTGCACTGGCACTTCAGTCATGGGATGCTAATGTTGGTGAGTGTAATTTCTCCTTCCTCAAGATCAGAAGTTGCCTCCCCCTCACAGCTTTCATGTATATCAAAGACTGTGGTAACATTTTGTTGTTGTTGTTAGTTGTGAAGTCGTGTCCGACCCATCACGACCCCATGGACTATGTTCCTTCAGGCCTTCCTGTCCTCCACCATCTTCTGAAGTCCATTTAAGCTCACGCCTACTGCTTCAGTGACTCCATCCAGCTACCTTGTTCTCTATTGCCCCCTTCTTCTTTTGCCCTCAATCTTTCCCAGCATTAGGCTCTTACCCTCAGCATTGCCCTCAATCTTTCCCAGCAGTGAGTCCTTACTTCTCATTAGGTGGCCAAAGTATCTAAGTTTCATCTTCAGGATCTGGTCTTCTAAAGAGCAGTCAGGATTGATCTCCTCTAGGACTGACCGGTTTGATCGCATTGCAGTCCAAGGGACTCAGCACCATAGTTCAAAGGCCTCAATTCTTTGGCGCTCACCCTTTCTTATGGTCCAACTTTCACAGCCATATATTACAATTGGAAAAACTATAGCCTTGACTATACGCACTTTTGTTGGCAGGTTGTTGTCTCTGCTTTTTAATATGCTGTCTAGATTTGCCATAGCTTTCCTCCCCATGAGAACATCTTTTAATTTCTTGGCTGCACTCCCCATCTGCGGAGATCTTGGAGCCCAGGAAAATAAAATCTGTCACTACCTCCATTTCTTCCCCATCTATTTGCCAGGAATTGAGAGGGCTGAATGCCATGATCTTAGTTTTCTTAATGTTAAGTTTCAAGCCAACTTTTGCACTCTCCTTCACCAGCCTCAAGAGGCTCTTTAGTTCCTCTTCACTTTCTGCCATTAGAGATAACATAGTGTGATACAAACTTGATAAGAGAGGGTAACTTACACAGCAACAGCAAATAAGGACAATGGTAAAGGCTTGAAGCACACCAGCTATACCCACAACCCAAGTAAGACGCAAGAAAAGAATCACTCCAAAGATGTTCTGCAGGCAAGGTAGGTATACTCCCATGAACGTGCCCATCTGTGGAATCTAGCAGAAGAGGACGAGAAGGTCAGGCAGAGTATTAAGGTCAAGCTTCCCAATATCTCTATACAGGTAGTCCTCAATTTACAACAGTTCACTTAGTAATTATTCGAAGTTACAACGGCACTGAAAAAAAGTGACTTATGACCATTTTTCACACAACCCTTGCAGCTTCTCTATGGTCATGTGATCAAAATTCAGACGCTTGGCAACTGACTTATGACAGTTGCAATGTCCTGGGGTCATGCGGTTGTGAAATCACCTTTCACAACCTTCTGATAAGCAAAGTCAACGGAGAAGTCAGATTCACTTAACAACTGCCTTACCACTTAATAACTGCAGTAATTTACTTAACAACTAGTCATAAAATAGAGCAAAATTCACTTAAGAAATGTCTCGCTTAGCAACAGAAATTTTGGACTCAATTGTGGTCATTAAGTGGAAAACTAACTATATCAGGGGTGTCAAAGTCGTGTCGTCACAGCAGCGTCACGTGACGTATCGGGACTTTTCCCCCCCCTTCGCTAAACTAGGGGGGGCGGAGCCAGAACGTGACACATCTGGCCCGCAGGCCGTGAGTTTGACGCCCCTGTCCTATACAATGAAGACTTGAAATTTCTCTACTCCTCGGTTTTGTTTCTTTGATCCTGTCCATTTTTCAAGAATCATTAACTGTATTATTCAGGTTAATCTGTTCTCTTAATTCAGAATAGATCAGTGTTTTCCTAGATACTGACTCAATGGTTGTCAGAAAGAATGATGGTGAATTGATATCAGTAAGTCCACTGGGCATTATCAGTTCTGAGGTAATGTTTAAGATCCACCAAAGTGAAGCTTCTGAGGAAGCTGAAGTTCTCAGAAATTCTAGAAAGGTCAATAAAGCTCATATGTGTGAGGCATATAAAACAACCTGAGAAAAAAAAATGTATCTCCACCAGCTTTTGTTAATCTAATCCTACTTATTTAAGTCTCAAGAATTACAGTCAAGGATTTAGAAATATTTCTTCCAGGGCACACAAAAACGAAAGCTTTTGTAAGAAGCCCAGAACATATCTTGGGGAAATCAAAATTTCAGGACAGCAGATTTCTCTAGTTCTACTAAAATCATGGAGGAAAATATCAATTCTATCAATCCTGAACTTAAAACACTTTTTTTTTGCCTCATGTCAAGATGTCTTCCCATAAACCTTCTTGGTGCCATTCCTTACCTTGGTGATTTTTTTCTTGCCTGGATGGACATTCTCTGCCTCCTCGTGTTCACGGGCTCCCTGCATCAAGTTGGTATAGTTGGCCATTCGATTGAGCAGGGAAGACACTTTGGGTCGGGTATCCATCTCCTCCTACCGAGTAGGACAGAAGACAGTAAACATGAGGACAAATTGCGATGAAAAGTTCCTTTAAGATGGATGAAGAAAAAAAATCAAGGATTGAAAGTAGTGAAGAAGGATGGAAGCTATGGTAAAAGAAACAAGAGTGGACTATAAACAAGTTAGTTATTCTACAGGCTTATGCATTCACAAATCTTTCTTGTTTTGCATCTTCATTACATCTTCCTCAGACTTTCAGAAAACTCAGACAAGATTTGCCTCCCTTTCAAAACAGTTTTTACAAAATTGCTATGAGTAGCGTTTTAAAAAGACAGTTAAAATTTTTTCAACATGCAGAATTCGCAGTAACTGCACTTTTTCTACGGACTTGTAATAGCCCAGAAACTTGAATTAAGACGAAAGGTCTTATCCATGAATATTATAGGGTACATTAAGGAAAGAATACTGACATTGATTGATATTGAAAGTATGGATATTCCTCGATTTAAAACAGTTCATTCAATGACCATTCAAAGTTACAATGGCACTGAAAACAGTGACTGATTTTTTCACACTTACGATTGTTGCAGCATCCCCATGGTCACTTGATCAAAATTCGGATGCTTAGCAACTGGTTCATATTTATGATGGTTGCAATGTCCCAGGGTCATGTGATCACCTTTTGTGACCCTTCTGACCAGCAATGGGAAAGCCAGATTCACTTAAGAACCATGTTACTAACTTAGAAACTGCAATGATTCATTTAACAGCTGTGGCAAGAAAGGTTGTAAAATGGGGCAAAATTTACTTAACAAATATCTGACTTAGCCACAGACATTTGGGGCTCTGTTGTAGTCGTAAGTCAAGGACTACCTGTATATGGTGGAAGTGGGAAAAGAAAGTGAACCAACAGCAACGAGCAGTGATCTCACCTCAAAGAGTGCCAAATTCTTGTCAAAGAATTCATCGCCTTCTTCATAGTTGATATTGTTAAGAAATGTATGGGAAGCCTTCCTGTGTCCAGGATCTGCAATGTGGAAGAGAACGTATGGCTTAAGGGAAAGAATAGCTCAAATCTGTTTTTCCAGCTCTGGACATTGAAGCTCTATCTGTACAGGAACAGTAAGAATAAATCTTTGCTGAAGGACCGTTAAGCACTTTGCTTAACGGTTCTTTATAAAAAAAAACATTTACCAATTTCTATTATTCTTAGGGTAGAAATACGTCACAAAGAACAGGCAGGGAACATTCAGACAGAAGAAATGATGGGGAGAAAACATAAACGCAATTTGTCAGTCTAAACCAGGGCTGTCAAACTTGCATCGTCACGTGACGTATAGGGACTTTTTTCTCCTTTGCTAAACTGGGCGTGTGACCAGTTTGACAGCCCTGGTCTAGACAAAGGGAACAGACCGCCAAAGTCTTGGAAATTCAAACTCTGTGCAACCAATCAGGAGCAAGGTTTTCTCAGGTGAGCTGTTAAAAGGCCTTTGCTGCTAACAGGAAGCTGAATTTCCTTCTTTCTTTCCCCATTGTCCTTTTAATGATAAACAGGTTCCTCAAATATTAATCCCCATTATAAATAGTTTGTATTCTTTTCTGAAATCAGTAATCTCATTCTAACCGGAAATTTAGTTTATAGCACATCCTGACCACATTTTATTAACTCTGAAAGAGCAGGAATGCTCGTCTTTTTTGGAATAAAGGAAGACGGGGGATTTTTTGTTTTGTTTTCTTTTGTTAATAGGGATGGTGGCAATGACAAACCCCTTCACCCCACAAGGCTGTTGGAGGTTTTTGCAGTAGGGATCACACTTGAGGCATCAAGAGGAGCTAACCTATCACATCTCAGACTGTGAGTGTGCATGTACTCCATTATATAATGCCAAGAATCTATCTAGCCAATTTTTCTGTCCAGTGCCTGCTTGTTTTTTGTCTTGGAAGACTGCCTAACATCAACCAGCTCTTTTTCTCTGGAGCTTCTGGAGGAATGGACTGAAAAACAGGCAGTCAAAGTTTCTAAAAATTTATCTGCAAGGTTCTGGGACATCATTCTTTAATTTTAAATTCATCCACAAAGAAACTGATAACGGGCTTCATAGCTATAGCTGATTCATTTATGAAGGTGTTAGGTCCTTGAAAGTGATTCATATATAATTTTCAAGGATACAGAGTGTGCCAAATTCTCCTTTAAAAAGTCTTAATTATGAACATTCTCTCAGGTGAAAATCTAAGATCAACCTTGAGGGAGGAAGAGGTTCTTAAAAACCAAAACATTAAAAAAAATGCAGTTTCTTTAAAATTTATTGTATGTACACTGAGAGCATATGCACCAAAACAAATTCCTTATGTGTCCAATCACACTTGGCCAATAAAAATTCTATTCTATTCTATTCTATTCTATTCTATTCTATTCTATTCTATTCCTATTCCTATTCCTATTCCTATTCCTATTTCTATTTCTACTCTACGACCATGGAGAAAATAACAGTCCTAATTTTGAAAAACAGTCGTAAGACATTATGTTCTATGTCATTGTAACTTTGAATGGTCATTAAGTGAACTGTTATAAGTCGAGGAGTATCTGTGTTAAAGTTAAAATGCTGTCGTTTCTCTCATAGAAACGACTCTCTGCTCATAGATAAAGGTAAAGATTCCCCTTGCACGTATGCACTATCGTTCCCGACTCTAGGGGGCGGTACTCAACTTCCGTTTCAAAGCCGAAGAGCCAGCACTGTCTGAAGATGTCTCCATGGTCATGTGGCCAGCATGACTCAACGCCAAAGGCGCACAGAATGCTGTTACCTTGTCACCAAAGGTGGTCCCTATTTTTCTACTTGCATTTTTTACATGCTTTCGAACTGCTAGGTTGGCAGAAGCTGGGACAAGTAATGGGAGCTCACCCCGTTATACGGCACTAGGGATTATAACCGCTGAACTACCCACCTTTCGATTAACAAGCTCAGCATCTTAGCCACTGAGCCACTGCGTCCTACTATTGTGCTCATAAGGGGCTAATAAATAGCCTGTTAGATGGGCAGCTATATATGGGAAAGGGAAAGTTGATGAGTCGCCCCGTTTTAGGGGAATGAAGGGAGATAATACAGAATTCTGTGTTCTGAATTCTGCTTTCAGAGTATGCAGCACCTACTAAATGAAGTAGGGATGAGTTTTCATTGAATTGTTATCCTAAGGTAGCATCCCTGGCCTACTAGAACAAACAGTTCTAGGCTATTTTGCTGATATGATTTTGCTGACTCTTTATCTATTCTATGGAATCCTACAAACACTCCCTTTAACAGAGATAATCATCTGCTACTGTTTACCCAGTCAGTTTTCCCAGACTGAAGATGCAGGAGTCCCTTGATCTTTCAAAAGCATGTTGATCCTGTTTCAACAACCCCAAATCTCTGATACCCATCCTGATTTTTGATAATCTTATAGAATGGTAGAATACAGGTAATTCTCAACGTACGGCCACAATTGACCCCAAAATTTATGTTGCTAAGTGAGACATTTGTTAAGGGAATTTTGTCCCATTTTACGACTTTTCTTGACACAGTTGTTAAGTGAATGATTGCAGTTCTTAAATGAGTAACACTGTTGTTAAGTGAATCTGGCTTCCCCATGGATTTTGCTTGTCAGAAGGTCGCCAGAAGGGATCACATGACCCCTGGACAGAAGTATGAAGCAGCTGCTAAGCGTCTGAATTTTGATCAAGTGACCGTGAGGATGCTGCAATGGTCATAAGCATGAAAAATGGTCATAAGTCACTTTTTTTCAGTGCTTTAAATGGTCACTAAACAAACTTGTTGTAAATCAAGGACTACTTGTAATTTTCCATTGGTCTAAATTCTCACTTTCTTGCAGGAGGAATGGCATTGTCAACACTGTATTTGATCCTGTGTTGTTTTTAATAATGAACCATATCAGTGGTGAAATCCAAATTTTTTACTACCGGTTCTGTGAGTGTGGCTTGGTGGGTGTGGCAGGGGAAGGATATTGCAAAATCTCCATTCCCATCCCACTCTGAGGCCAGCCAGAGGTGGTATTTGCTGGTTCTCCAAACTACTGAAATTTTCCACCATCGGTTCTCCGAACTGCTCAAAATTTCCACTACCGGTTCTCCAGAACCTGCTGGATTTCACCCCTGAACTGTATGCTTGATATGGCTTTATAAAGCGAGTAAGTAAACAAATGAGTTAGAGCTATTTTGTGTTGAAACAAAGTCAGGCTGTATCCAAATGCTACAAAAATAAATATAAATCAGGAAGAGGCATGTCTGTATTTTTACCCATGCTAAAGCAGGAGACAATCTAGAAAAGGTATTATCATCTTGTTTTCTTTAGTTACTGGTAAAATATACTAGTTCTATCAACATGACCATTGTCCTTTCATGAGAATATAATCCAAGCTACTGAAAAGTTACACTGCTCCTTTAAAGAATATAATCAACCAAGAAAACAGGTATTTATAAACACATCTATTAAAGAACAAGCATCCTATTACTGGTAAATTTATGAGTTCTATTGATGATGACTGCACTGCACAATATTATTAGATCTCTTTCTCTTAGACACAAATATACACACTCCTATATACACACACACACCAACACAGAGACATTAGCTTCCCTCTGCCCACCCATATAGCTGCAGCCAACCGAGATTGTGTGCCCTCAACCCCACATCAGCTGATCGGTTAATAACAGGATAACATACATTTACCATAAACACACACACACACACCCAAACACACACAAAAGGCCTCTGCGAATACTGTACCTAAGAGCTGACATTGTTCCCCTGTGATGGAAGTTTGACTCACATCTGAAAAATCAAGCAGAACATGTGGGAGGAAAAATGAATAGCAAAATAAAGAGAATGGGAGAATAAAATGAACTGTTTTGTCCCCAAACTTCCCAGGATTTCTTTAAAAGGTACTTTTCCCTTTTCCCTCAACAACCATTAATCAACCTCACAAAAAGCATGAAGTAACCCATCAGGGAATCCTACTCTGTGATTTTAAACCAACAGCTGCAAATCGCTGAACAAAGGATTGAGACTAGAAGCCACTGTAGAGAACTACCGTTCTTCTTTACCTCCCACACACAATTAGTGTCACATTGATGCCAAGGGGCCAGGGTGATAATAGAGAGGGCATGGGGCACCCCAGAATGAAGGGGAAAAAAAATAGATTAACGGAAGAATGAGGTACGATTCCTTCCTTTCTATAACTCTCTCTGGCTTATTCCAAGTTACAATGCCTGAATGTAAATAATAAGATCTCAAAGAATATAACTGTTTTCCACAATGGACTTCCAAATATTGCTGAACTTCAGCATCCTTTTACAAAAAGCTATCCTGAATATGGCTAATGAAAAATGCATTTTCAGTTATGTCTGGATAACTGAAGGCTGACCATCTGTCTCATGCTCTGCGACTTCCTGATGGAGAAGGACTATTAACAAATGCGTAAGACAGGAATATGTGACTGGTAATACAAAATTCTAATGGTTTAGCAATACGTGTTCAAATAGAAATAGACCCAGGGTTATGCAAACATAAACAATAATAACGTATAAATTATATTGCCTAATAAACATTTTGTCCTTGAATTTTGTCTATGTTGTGTATGAATATACACAAAGCCAGCTTCATGCCTGTCACTCTGGCAATCTTCCTTGACCAATTAGCATAGTTTGGTCCCCAGCATTAAAAACACTAGATGACTGTTGAGTCTGCACCTAATTATTTCTGCTCATTGCTTTGGCAATGCAATTCAAAGTGTTGAGGAGGCTAAATAGAGATTATATCAGATTTGGGCACTGCTAACAAGGAAGGTTCCTGGTTACACATTAAATCTTAATTTAGAATACGTTTCTGGGGCATGGTATGTGGGTATGTATGTTTCCTAATCACCAGTACAGAAAGCTGCAGTTCTGCAAATCATAGAAATGTTTTATTTAGGATTATTATACTTGGGGCATTACCAGATTACTCAGCCTAAACAATTTAATCTTAACAGGTTTCTCTTCTGAACACAGTATCTTAGACTCAGTGGTGTGAAGGCAGTTAAGGCAGTAATTTTAGTATCTGCGGGCATAGAAACCTATTACTTATTTTCTTAACATTTATTTGTTGTTAAAAAACTTTTTTCTCTATTACCTGTGGAAGAACGAAGGCATAAAGAATAGACATAGCACAAAGAGAGCAACTTTGTACCTGTCAGCATCCAGCCTTTTATAACCAGATATATATGATATGTATAAGAAAGAACTTTCAGGCTGTGTAGGAATCTTCTGAGGGAAAGAGGGATGTACACAGGAGGCCAAACTGAAGACAGAAATACTATTTTGGGTGACTGACGAGATGATAGGACATATTAAGCTTTACTTAGGTTAACAGCTGCAGCTTAGAATATTGTACAACAGAACAAACCCTTCTGTTTAGTTTTAAGGTTTATGTTCACTTTTCTGATATGTGCATTTCCTCCATTTTCTTCTATCTGAACAATTAATGATAATTGTTCAGATAGAAGAAACACAATGAGGTAAATTCAATTTCCATTCTCTATGATGAATGCTACAGAATATACTCCAAGTTATTTCTTCTTATCTACCCTTTCATAAAGAAATAAACTTGCAAATTAATTTGTTTTGGGTTATTAGATTGTGCTCTTTCCAAATACGAAAGAAAACCAAGAATATATATGCTTTCTCTAAGCAATATATGCTTTCTCTAGGTCACATTAGAATAAAGTGGAAGTAAAGCTCAGTGAACTCGAATGGTTTTACCCTATCAGATTATACTCTCAGATTTACATCTGCCATACCTCTAATTAGGAATCCTGCTTTAACAGAGCTCAGAATACTACGGGACCTTAGGGGAAATTTTACTGAATGTTATTGGGCAAGGCTACATTTTCTAGCTGTTGTTTCCTATCTGCAAAATGGGAATAATAATGAAATCTATTGCTGACTATTGGGAAGAATGAAACAAAGCACTGTTCATAACAATACTCATAATTTCATGGACCAAAAAGCCACAACTGTAATAAATAAATTGTCATTTGTAGCCATTTTTCTTTCACTTAAATCATCAATTCCTTTTCACTGCTCTCCCAGACAGAATGTAAGAGAATTTTTGATTAGTGCCAGTACCAAGGAAGTTTTAAGATGGCATAGAAACCTAACAGAGAAAGAATAATTTGGCGAAGTCAAGGTCATGCTGATAAACAGTGTAGCAATGTGACAATAAACAATGCAGGCCAAATCACATGAAAGAGACTCTTGAAGATACACACAGGCAAGCAAAGAGAATGGAAAAGCCAAAGCAGCTTCATCCAAATATACAAAAGGTACTGTAATTAAGAGCAGATTAAGATAGTCCCAGGTTTGTAGAATTAACGGGAAAACTTTAGAAAATAAACCTTATGTTGAGGGAATCCAAAGAAAAAAAAGATACTAAGAATTTATCAGATTGGGTTAGCATGGCTGGAATGTGATGGGAAATATAAATGGAAGAGTATATTTGGAAAGAAAGTATTAGCCCAGGAAGACTCTGAAGACGAGCAAATAACTGTTCAATGTTTCTTTAAAAAAAAAAGAAATCCAGTTAAAAACATAATGGTAAACAATGCAACCCAGAAGAGAGTATAAGGAGAATAATACCTATCAATCCATCCAAAAAGAAAAAAAGGTGTGTAGTACAGATATTATCTGTTTTAATCACCACTAGGATGGAGCGATAGCAGAATGGTCTATAGCATTTGTGAATGGATTCACATGATGCTAGAATGGAAGCATAAAGAGAGGACATTCTGAGCCAGAGTCATGAAGTTGGACAGCAAGGAAATGTAATATATATTATATTTATCGTTATTTATTTTAAATTCTGCTTCTGGGTTTACATCCCCAAAAATCATACCTAGAAAAACAATGAGTGGGGTGTGTGTGTGTGTGTGGTCTCAAGACACACTACTCTGTTGCTCTCAGTCTAAAATAATATGTTCAAGTGAACCAGGCATCACAGTCCATAATTCTTCCCGTTAATCTAGGCTCACTTGCTATCTAAGGGCTGAAAACGAAGAAGAAATCCTGGATGTACGTGTAGCTATAATTCCCTCCCAAGAACAAGAAGCAGGACATTTGGCCCCTGTCCTAATTATGCTCTAATCACAGATTATAGTTTGGTTCTGACTTCAGCAACTTGCCTTAGACAGCTAGTTTCCACCTGGCTGAAGGTCACGCTTCAGGAAGGTTAGTAAGAAGGCGATTAATGGATTAAACAAAACCAGAGGAGAGAGATGAAGACTAAAAAAAACCAAAACTCTTTCAGAATGTGCCACTGGGAAGAAATGATGGTGAGGGGAAAGCAAAGGAGACATGAGGGCTTCCTCCCAGTTAGAAGGTGGGTAACTGAGCACATGGTTCTTACTATCAAATGAGGCTAACGAAACGGGTTAAACATTACCAGCCCTCAAGTGAAAAGCTGGGGGAGGAGAGCAAACCGTGATAAATGGGAAGAAACTATTCAATTTAACTTGCTTACCTTCCCTGGCAGTTTCACTAGGATCCCAGATCCGCCCTGGACTGCTTCTTGTCTGTCCATCCCCCTCTGGTTTCCCCTCTTCATCATCTTCCACTTTGGTTACAGTGAACTGTGGCATGTTCAAAAGAAAAGTTTCTTCCAGGCCAGGACACAAAGAACTGAAAGTGTCGGTGGGTCAGGTGACAGGCAGCCCCAGGGAATGGGAGGGAAAGGGTGTGGGCCTGTAGTGCGAGGGAGACACACCTCTACGGGGATATGTGTGTGTTCAAGTGTATGCATGCCATGAAGAGTTATTTACAAGCCTGCTACTAAGAAGATTACTCTCAGTGCATACTGCTATGCTGCACTAGTTTGCACATTCTTTACATCACGGCAGCAGTATGCAGTCTCTTGCTTTCTGCCAAGAATTAAACGCAGCCCTGTTAACAGGTACAAACGCTAGTTAATCATTGTTTGGCTTTACATAAAGAGTGCTTGGGAAGTTATATTTGGGAGAAGCTGTACAGTTTGCGCACCTTAAAAGGGAAAAGTATCATAAACTTACAAAGAACTAATAACAATTGTAACGCAAAGAGCAAGAGTCACCAAAATGTAGTCCTACTAGCAGTGCCTGTAGGACAAGTAGTGTATTCTGTAAAAGCAAAGCAACTCCCATCAGAAGACAATTCAATCTTGACAAACTGCCCTTCCCTAAAGCCAGAATATGATTCAAAGTGTATATGGCTGCATAGTGGCAGCTGTTCCTGGAGGAATGAATCCCTGTTCCCCCCCCTCCCCCCCCCCACACACACAGGAAGGTTTTTTTTCTAAAAAATGCATAAACTTGAAATTTAGGCATAAGCATTATCCAACCAAGATTGAATCCTACTTTGGGTTGCAAAAAGAAGGCTAGTAGGAGAGTGCATGTCTGTCTTGTCATGTTCAGAAAAGAAGAAGGCTAAAACTAACTGGGAGTTGCTGGGGAAGAAAAGAGAACTGGGGGTTAGAACTCAAAAGATATCACACCAGATATTCCACATTACAGATAAAGATAGTACATAGAAAGTGGGGGAAAGAAATCTGAAGTTAGTTATTAGTTTATTTGATTTATATACCGCCCTACTCCCGAAGGACTCAGGGCGGTGAACAGCCAACAATAAAATACATAAATACACAAAATTTAAAAACCCGATAAAATCAAATTAAATTATTTGGCCCAGACAAATTAAAATACCCCAATAATTTAAAAACAGATTAAAATTTACATATTTAAAAAGGGAAGAGATCAGGCCAAGCCC